CTCCCAAAACCAGTCCCCAGGCTCAATTCCTTAAGTGCTACATCCCCCGAATATGATGCAGGCCGTCTCTGGTTTTGCTCCACACTGTCAAACGTGTGCATGTGATGCTGTATGGACGTGCAGAAGTGTGCTGTCCCAAATCAATTTTCCTATGAGTTTAATAATGATGTGTTTTGTCTGCTTTGAACGACTATATAAAGAACTCTTCTTATCTCTACTTGCCAAATACAACTGTGTGGAAAAAATCCAAGTGTGAGTCTGGAGAAGGGGCACCCCGCCCACTGCATTTACAGATCTGTCTTCATTTACCCAGGTGGTGCTGCCCCGAAATGGAGGACTTTCCTGGGTAATCAAGAGATGTCCCTATTTGTCAAACAACAACAAATGTTTCATTGGAAAGAAACATGTTGGTGCCAATCTAGAAAGAAATCCTTTCCTAAATTGGGCTCGAGGCAAAATACATATTGAATGCCAGAGCAATGAAATGTGAAGACCAACGGGGCAATGTTCAAAGAGTAAAAATGATCTACTTAGAAAAAAAAAGAATTTTATTTTTCAATCATTAAAAAAGAAAAAGGGCATCATCCCTTTCAAGCTACTGTAAGATCAAAGATGAGAATGCCAAAATTGGTTTTAGAAAACAGGGCATTTTTTCCTATGTTTAAATAATGTGCTGAAATGAGCACATAAAGATACCTGTGGTACAGGCTTACCCTGTCTGCACATTGTGGAGTGTAGGTGTGGCCCCAATGGAAGTCCTTATCCTTTCCAAGAATTCTCTGATCCAATGCCAAGAACTGGCAGTGCCTCGCTGGCCATGACCTTGTACTTGAGCACTGCAACGAAGTCTTACTCTTGGCTACTGAACCCCAAACTAGGACAGGTTCAGAGTTTATAGAAACTTGCATTTCTTTAAAAAAAAAATTGTAAGTATCTTCCAGACCATGCTTCATTACAAACTGCTAATTAAAGGGACAAAAAGTATTAGTAAGGCGATACCACTTCCTGAATGGCACCATAAGGCACTGAAGATCTTGCAGTGCTGTCCCATAGCTAGAACTATGGTACAGTACTCAAGGGGCGATCCAGTCCAACCTTTTGCAGACTGTTAAAAATCTACTACGTCATGTTGAGCGGGGGAAGGGTTTGAAGGAAGGTAGAGGAAGATAGTCTGAGTTGATGTTTTTTAGAAAATCTGAGAAGGGGACTTTCAAGTTCACTCAACAAACAGAGAGCTTTGAAATGCTCCCAAGTCAACTCCTGCTTGAAATGAGCAGCTAATATTAATTTATAATCAGATATGCCAATATGTCTGATGTGCTGAGGTTTATTAAAAAGTTATAAACTATTTCACTCATTAACTACATTCCTTATAATCCTTTTTTCCTCATCCTGTATTCATGGATAGTAAACCCTGCATTCATGGATAATGCCTAGATGAACACCAACAAAGGTCCAATGGCCACAATTCTATAATGGTGGGAACCAAATTAATCGGGTTGTCGTGCATAGAGAATATGGATGAGGAGGTTCATTTTTGCTGAGCCTCTTTTATGTTTTAACTCTTAAAACATCATCCTGAATAGGAATTAATATTCCCACTCGAGAGGTGCGAAGACTGCAACTCTGGGAGGTTAACATACCTACCCAGGACCATCTTGGTAACTGGCAGAGCTGGGATGAAGCTCACGTCAAAATGCCCAAAGCCCATGCCTTCTGCCACACCTTGCTTTCTCTCTAGTTCTCTGTAGACCGTATTCATACAGTGCTGATGTTTAGAAATCATACCTCTTAGCAAGTAATCTCAGAAACTGCAGAACATTTCTAATGGCTTATTCGTAATTCTGCTACATGTCATACTCCACCAAAGACTGAAAGTGCCTTTCTAAAATAGTAAACTGAAAAGATCACTTACTATCGTGACAAATAGCTGGCTAAAGCATCAACTTATGGACAACATGGTGCTGGAGATCTCAGGCCCCCGAAGACATCAGTGCTCCGATCAGCACCGACCTCTCAGTACAGAGACCACTCATACAACCTGCAAACACCAGAGGTGCCTGGTTTGCTCTGAACTAGTAACCTGCAGTCCTGTCAATCAATTATTTATTGTTTCTATTTAGCCTACTGCCAAAAAGAATCTGAAGTGTCCTGTTCAGGACAAAGACTGCAACAGAAAAATAAATAAACGGTAGGTTTGTGGGATGTGGGGGTGGTGGGGAGATAAGATAATAAATCCATTCTAAAATTTGAATTAACGTAGATTTCATCTGCTGGGATCTGACAGGGTCTTGGATGAGTTTACTTTGGTAGACATGGACATAGTATGAAAACCTGAGAGGCTAAAAAAGTTTAAAAGGATAATGTGTAAGAAAGTTCCCTAGCAAACCCTTTTCTCCGAGATACTACAAAGATAAACACTAGGAAAGAAGGTTCCTTCTGTGTTAGTGAGGTAGAATTAATAAGATCTTACTATAATAAACCAATTGTCTATGGAGTCAGCCTCTGTCTTTCTCTTTCGACATTATTAAAATATCAGGCGTTGCCACAGTATATGGAGGAAGCCCTAATGCACCGCTTCCCTTTTTAAAAGCAGAAGTACAAGACTTTATCCACGGAGGACTAAGGGCCTCTATGTAACTAACATTCATACTTTGTTCACTTGAATAAGAGTACAAATTTAAAAGTTGTTTTAATGGGAATCTTTTAGAATAGATTGTGCTTTGTCTCACACAGATATTAAACATAGTTTAATCTTTTCTGGATGCACCAGGGTCTCGAAGGCAGCAGGCCAAGGTCATTGGGCTTGAAGTCAGACAGACCTGGGTTTGAAATTCTGCCTTTTCTGGTGTTTAGAAATTGGGAACACTGTTTGGCTAGCTGGGCATCATTACATAAGGTATGAGGAAGACCTTCCTTTGTTTTGTGAACTATAGGAGAAAAAAGATTCTTTGTGAAGTAGTACTTTGTTGTTTTTTTTTTTTTTTATGTGAAAAAGTGACATAGGCCCTGAAAAGACTCGAGGTTTTTAAAAATGTTAAGTGCCCTAGAGCATTTAGGGCTGTGATACCTTGCTTTTTAATGATAGCTAAATATTTCATGTGCTATTAATATTTCATTACATACATTTTCGGTTTTTTACCTCTAAACGTCTACTTTAAGTTATTTTTCTGAATTACTAAAAATATTTGTAGTGTATCTTGAAATCAACATTTTGAGAATGCGAAGTTACAATGTCAGCCTGTGGGAGGAAGGATATTTGCATTTACAGAAACAATTGTATTCTCCCTATTAAGGATTTTCCTACTGCTTACAATAAGAATGAAGAATCTGCATTTTTGAAACATTATTTTATAGTGAATGAAAACCAGTTGCTTACTTAAATGAAGGAAAATAAATATTTCTTGGACTCTTAGATAACGACTTTTTATTTTTTTAGTCTATCTCCCTGAATATCAGTAAGGAACTCAATCTTAGGAGTTTGCTGACACAGACTAATCGGAAGATCAGGAGCATTGCTGAATGGGAAATGTGTTAAAAGCACATGCCTTTATTCTCCAGGGGACACGGAAGATATTTAGACAAGGCATTCAGGACAGGAAGAAGGTTTCCAGGAAAGGGAGGCCATACTCTTTCCTTTAGTTAAGCTTTTGTAAAATAGCACATTAAAAAAGACTTGGTTTCATGTGCACAGACATTATAAAACAGCTCAATGTCTCCATCTTGTATTTGCAGCAGTTCCATTTATATCCAAAAAGCCCAATTTTGCTGTTTCTAATTATTTTGGAATAAACTGTCAAAAATATTTAGGTTTATCAACCTAAAGACTGTTTGTCTGGTCTCGGAGAGATGAGAGAGTAAAATGTCTTGTGACTAGGAGCATGGGATTCATTTTCTTATCAAACGTAGGAACATTACGGCCACAGTGTATCCTGACAAGTATATACTAGGCATTATAAGCAACGGGTTTAAGGACCTCCCGGTCATTTGCAGAAAGACAATCCTTTTATTGTGCGAGCAAAAATGCCTTTGGTTTCCTGCCATTAAACCTAAGTGCCAGTGGAGGTTTGCGCAGAGTTGACAAAGCTTCATACAATATGCCCTTTAACAGAATGATACTTATACCTGGAAGGGTAATTTTTATTTCCCAAGGAGATGAAAAATTATGTTTCTTCACTATATGTGAGAAACACACATTATTATCTCCCCCTGGTCGGATATAGACTTTTCTATCTACTTTATACATTCTGCATATTTCTTGCCTACTGAGTCACTTCCGCCAACTGTGGGGCAGGGGTGGGGGAAGCCCAGAAGACCCCTACTAATTTCTTCTAAATTGAATGGTAGTTTCACGGAGAACTTTTCCTTTAATTTATATGATCAGATTGTGTTAAGTAGAACCAGACTACGCGGCTAAACATTTCCATATGCTATAGAGGCCCAGGACGTTTCCTGAAAGGAGACACCATTCTGACTTCAGATATTACCTGTTGCTACCAGAAATGGCTGCAATCCACACTGATTTTACCCTCTCCCAGGATCCAAGGGTCACATGTAAGCACACGGAGGGGATGCTGCCCCCTGGCACTTCCTGGTGCCTGGCAGGACTCTTCCCTCTGCCACCCTCCTGGGCTCCAGTGGCTACCAGACTGTTCCCCACTCACTGCCACTTGCCTCATCCTCTGCATATGGGATGAAGAATCAGACAAATGCCGGCAAGAAAGGCAGAGTTAAATTCTGGCTATCTGGTTCCTGGGTTGGAACCACTCTGAGCCTTGGTGGAATCTACAGATGCTTCACAACTCACCCCTTGGCGATAGGACATTTTGGTGCCTCTAACCTTCCCCTCTTCACTTTATGCTCCAGAAGTTTGCGAAACCTTAATGAGTCATGAAGAATCCTAATTTCAAATCCAAAGAATCCAAAGTGATGATAACAACAAATAATAATTGATATCTGAATAAAGGTTAGTATTTGACAATGGATAAAGATTGGTATACCTTCCCTTCCTCGGGGCTTTGTTGACATAAATTGTGAACGTCGTCTTCTCTTACTAATTTTCCAGGCCAGGAAGTCAGTCCTTTGATTTGGCCCCAGACCAAGTCGCCAACATTGAACGTCCTTGGCCTATAATGTATCAACTCGTTTGAAGAGGGGGAGTCTGGATTCCGTAGGTCATCTTCACTACTAATGCTTTTAGCGTCTGAAGGGCTAGGCACACACCCATTAATGCTTTTGGCATTAAAGTCTCCATTGTAATGGATGTAGTCTTTGACCAGAGAACTTTCCAAACTATTTGAGGAGCTTGGAGACTGCTCCCCTAGGACCAGGTCTTGCTTTGTGGTGCTCAGCAGCTCTCCAAAGCCACGACTCTGTCGAGGTCTGTTCCCATTGATGTGTGCACATCTTTCCACAGTGTTCTCCAGTCTCTCCTTGAAACTCATCATAGTTCTTTTGTAGTTATTATACCTGAAATTTTCCTCCAGAATTTTATCCCCTTGACAGTTTCTTGGTGGTAACAGTATTGGGTGCTGTTCCCCAGGCAGAAATGGCAGTGTAGAGACATTGTTGGGCCTTTCGTGACCAGGACTACTGTGAATATGGCCTGGATGATCTAAAAATTCCTCACACTTCCACCTGTTTCGCTCCCCTCCAGGGCTCTGCTCCCCATCCCACTGTTTTTTAGATGCGTGGCAACTTGCTGACTTGAAATATTCAAACCCATCTCCTTCGTGTGAGTTTTTCCCATGGTCCGGATTCCTGGGCAGCCGGGGCCCTCTTGCATTCCTCAGCCTACCATCGTGATCGACATTGCCCATGTTCCGTCCATGAATGACTGCACTGACAGCACTGGGGAGACTTAATGGGTCACCAATCGAAGCAGTGAAGGCACTCATGGCACTCAGAGCTGGAATGGGACTGATCTGAGTTGTACTGTTGACTGCTGTGGTGATGACAACCTGCATTCCTTTGCTGGCAGCATCGACAACTGCCTTGTAAATGGCATCTACAGAGGCATCACCTTGGCCACCCACAATGAGGCCGTCCTTCACCTGCTGGCCAAGAGATGGGTCAATCCTCGGTTGCAACTCACAAGCTGTATCTTGGAAAGGTGGAAGTGTAGTGTTCGGATTCTCAGGAAGTGCAGTGAGCCCCGGCTGAGTGCTTGTTCTTTTGTTTAGGAGAGCTGCATCTTCCTGCATTCTCACCTTAAAGACATAGACAGGAAGCAGTGAGAGAGAGAAAAAAAATAAATTTAAAGACCTCAAAGAGAAAGACATAATTTTAAGATCTACCAGAAGACAAACAAACATAATGGGGAAGAAAATGACTTAAAAATGAAATAAAAAGTTACTCCGTATAGAAAGCTTATGTCTTGATTATATTTGGGTACTGTTTCTTTGGTTAAAACCATTCAACAGATTTATTTTTAATCATTATTACTAAACATCCTCTAGAAAAAAATAAAGTTGAGGCTGTTGGACAAAATATGTTTTCAGGTGATGACTTCAAATATTTAGTATCATTACAGGTTTTGCAACTTGGGATTCAAAGAGAGAAGCAAGCCAGTCACCAACACTGCTCAAATTACAAAGGGAACCAGATTTTGAAAATGATTTCTACTGAACTAAGTGAAATACGATATAAGATAAAACAAAAAAACACATACTCCTTTCTTAACAACAAGATATTTCTAATATAACACTAAAATTTTAAAGTCTAATTTTCAACCTTACCAGGCATCAGCTGAGGGACACCAGTGACAATGGCTCCCTAAAGAAGTGTTTCTGAGTTGAGAAGAGGTGAAGGGAGGGAATGACACCAGGGAAGACTATTAATGCTCAGGACAGGAAGGATGGGTGCAGTTTGAAAAAAGTCTCTGAGGTTACTCTAACTTCACCAACCCCATCTAAGAATTGCTGCTCCAGATCTTTGATACTTGGGATGGCACCCCCACACCCCTGATCACTCCCTTCCGGTCTTCCCATCCTTCCCCACTAAACCAGAACCTGGGAGCACCAGCACATCACTGACTCTCCTGCCACTCTCCCCTGGTCTACACCTCCCAGATAAAATCCCAGTCCTGAGTCAATTCAACTGCCAGCCTCATCCATATCTACAAGGGAGGGTGCTGAGTCTGTGATGCTTCACCACTATTCAGATCTTCACCCACTTCCACAAGCTGGCTGCTGTACCGTCTCTTGCATTATTCTTAGTAGATGGCCTTACTTAACACAGAAAATGGAGTTCATAGGTTAAGAATTCTCATAATTCTTATACTCTGCTCCTCCCTGGCTTCTGGCGGCAAATACTTCTGTGCAACTTTGTGTCCCAAATCATGTCCTGCTTCCCAGGGTCAGAGGGGCACCTTCTGCTCCCTGAGAGCAAGTTCTCCATTTGTGCTTTGGATCCTACCCCCTCCTCAGGGATCTTGCCTTACCTATTATCCCTTCTCCTCTTTATGTTCCATCTCTTCCACATTAAAAACATTAAATTTACTGGTTAATAAAATTATTTATATTTCACATGTACAATTCTAAAATACATCGTCTGTATATTGTATTGTGTGTTCACCACTCCAAGTCATTTATCCCCCCTGTATCCTCTTCTACCCCGTCCCCCTGCCCGCCCCCCATCACCCTTTCCCTCTGGTAACTACCATCTTCTTTTTGGTTTCTTTCCTTTAGCGTACAACTATGTGCATGGCTTCCATATTACAAAGTTTGCAGTCAACCTATGCCTGCCTTGGGGCACTACCCTGTTTTTTATATGCTCTTTATCGTTCAGTTTTTGAAAGTTTTTCATCTACACTCTTTAATTCCTAACCGTTTTCATCCTTTCATCCATTACAATCTGGCTCATGCTCCCACTACTCCACCCAAACTGCATTCCATCAAGTTATTGGTGATGCTCTCACTGCTAAATCTAATGGCTTCTCTGCAAGCTTCATCTGCTTGTTTTCTCGGTGACATGGTTGAACACTTCCTCTTCCTTTCTAAATTATTTGATTACGTAAGATGTATATGAGTATTTTCACATTGTCCAAAAAGGCAAAAGTTGTCTTTATCATTACGCCCCACCTAAATCTGTACTTTGCCATCCTACTGCAATCCAATTTCCTTTCTTAGAAGTACTAGTAATCAGTGCTGGAGAGCATTCTTGCAGACACCTATTTTCAATACATTCAAGTGTGTAGGTGGATATCTAATCTTCCTTCCTTCTTTCCTTCCTTCCTTCTTTCCACCTTTCATATAAATGGTACTGTATTTTACTTTTCTTCTGCAATAATTCAGTATTGGAGTCTTGTAATCTTGTGGACCTTAACATATCAGATTATATAAGTCTAGCTAATTTTTAAAAAAATATTTTTATTGATTTCAAAGATGGAGAGAGAGGGAGAAAGAGATAGAAACATCAATAATGAGAGAGAATCATTGATGAGCTGCCTCCTGCATGCTCCACACTGGGGACTGAGCCTGCAACCTGGGCATGTGCCCTGACTAGGAACGGAACTGTGACTTCCTGGTTCATAGATCACTGCTCAACCACTGAGCCATACCAGCCAGGCAAGTCTAGCTAATTTTTTAAACTACTAGATAGATGGATCTACCATAATAAATTTAACTATGTCCCTACTGATGGATGTTTAAGTAGTTGTAATGAACATTCTGAATTGTGACATTTCGTTCACATCAAAGACTTCTTTAACATAGACACATAGAAGTTAAATTTCTGGGTCAAAGGTCATGTATATTTAAAAACCTGATAAACTAAAATTACTCTCCAAAAGGACTGTATCAGCATATAATCAGACCAACAATATATCTGATATATAACAATATATCATTATCCCACACCACTGTCAGCAAGTCATCATCAATTTGATGGGCATATTAGTGTTGTAATTTATATAACTGATTATTCTTTTCATGTTTAATAATTTATCTTTTATTTTCTGTGAATTGACTATTCATATTTATTGCTCATTTTTCTAATCAATTATCTTTATTTTTCTAATATGTAGGAGCTCTTTTTATATTACAGATATCAGATATTTGCTATTATTTTCTTCCAGGTTATCACTTGTCTTTCACTTTGTTTAGAATACACTTAATCATACAGATTTTAAAGGTTTATGTATTCAATTTTCTTACTTCTTTTTACTACTTTGTTTTGTGTTTTCTGAAAGAGCCTTTCTTATCCCAAAATTATAAAAACATCCTATATTTTCATCTTATACTTATTTGGTGTTACTCTTTCCATCTAGCTCCTAAATCCATCAGGAATTTATTCAGTTTACCTAACTAAGAAGAAGACCAAGTGGCTGAAGCCAGGAAGAGAGCAGTGGGAGTGGGGCTGAGAGTGAGGCAGGCAAGGCAGGCATGTTAAGGATTTGGATTTTAATCATGAGAGCAATGGGATTAAACCCCCAAAAGGGTGCAAGAGGGTACCAAGGTCAGTTTTTACTAATGGCTCTAAAAGGACCACTGGGATGCTTCAGACAAAATAAAATAACCTTCACATAATAGACTAGACTGTTCAACAATATTCTTTATAGAGAAATGACAGTTAGTAGAGATGGAAGGGCATATACTAGTAACTTCCTTCTTTTGTCTCTTTGCCCAAATTAAGTGTTTTAAAAAAACTTAGACATTGGTTTCTACTACAGTAACCCAGGGAAGGAGAGTACCTGAAAGTTCTGAAACAGACAAGCCATGGGGTTATTGTTAGCTGGGCAGGGAATTGTGGGCTGTCCTTGGAATGCCTGGAGATTCGGGTACCCCTGAAGAATCTGCTGCTGCTGCTGCTGATTTGGAGGAAACATCTGATTGTTGTTTAACAGCGACTGTAGATGAGTCAGTTGATGATTATTCAAAGTATTGTTTATTGAGGACATGTCACCTATGGTTTGGAAAACATAAAATGTAAGTCAATGTGATTCTTTGGCAATCCTATGCCTATCCTTGTACCCAACGATTCCTGAAACAAAAACTAAAAACTAGACTTACATGATAAATTTTGTTTTCTCTTTTTCTCCTCAAAGTCTTACTAAGTGGTAAGGAGAGAGTATTTTACTATTTAATTTTATCTTTCATAATTATTTTTTTGGTTTTATGTCATGAGAGATGAGTCTTTCTCTATCCATTAGCCAGTCCTTACACTGAGCATCAGTGTTAAAAATTCCTTGAAACTATTTTTATTAAAGCACCTACAATTAAAGGTAGAAATTAGTCCTAACCTATTTTAGCAATCATAAGAATTTGATCAGATGATTAAAATAAATGGATCTGGTCAGGCTTTGTTTACAAAGTTTAGTTCTCAAGTCACAATCATCACCAATTATCACCAAATAAAACTGAGTTTTGTCTGGAAATATGCATTTTGTTTTTAAGTGAAAGGTTGGTCACCTAAAATTAAAATTGTAAAGAAAGTGAACAATACAAAAAGAAATCATTATCATAATCATTAAAAAATAAATATTATATAATCAGGTAGGATTAGCTAATGACTAAATTTATATTCAAAATTCAAAATAGACTTGTTTTGAAATTACACTGAAGTTATTTTGAAGATGATGTCAAAGGAATTGTCCTGTAACTTGAAATATATAACTCTAGTATGCTTTTTTAGATTACTTAACTGCATCGATTTCAATGACAAATAGAACTAATTAAACTGTACTATAAAGGTGTCCATAGATCTGGAAACATATATATATTTTTGCATACATTGGACATGCCCTTGACAATATCAAGTATATTTGCTGATGCTTCCAGACTTTATGGAAACCATCTCTGTACTTTATATTATAGTTACCTGCACCAATCAGTTGAATATACTTGACATTATTATCTAACATTTTTGTGACATTATAATTTACATGAAGAATTTTGCTTTTAAGCCACAAAAATTTTAAAGAATAATACTGTCGGAGGAAATCTAGCAATAGCTATTGGGGCTGTTTCCTTGAACTTGGACACATTTTAACTTTGAATGTTTTTATGCCTTGTTTCTTATTTTGCTTGATAAGTATTTAATTCTGTTTATTGAGGGATCACCTGGAAAAACACTTCCTGAGACTGTTTCCATCCACGGTGCAGCTGCTCATACTAACCCTGTGATGCCACACCAACTAAAATCCAAATAAAAGTTATTTTTAAGATGTACCTGTGCTTTATTATTTGAAAAATAAGACTACTTGGCTTAAGAGGATGATGGATAGGTTAGCGTTAGGTGGCATCAGAATTAGAAGATAAGCGAAGGCAGATTAAAACGATATTTAGTATTGCTAGGACAGGGGAGAAGAAAAAAGTCATTTTCATGTTTGTATAACTATGGTGGTGTGTGGATGTTATTATATTTAGTTCCTTAAGCACGCTGTGACATACAAAAACATTTTTAAAAATAGTGTGACAAAATGGAGTCTTTAAAAATGAGAAATTAGAATTAGAAAAACGTTTCTTTTGTAAAAATTTGTGAAAAAATGTAACTTACCAAGCAGACCTGTCCCCAGTAGAGGGTTAAGTAGCTGTGGCACCACAGAGTTACTGTTGAGTTTAGCTGGACCAGTTGTGTTCCCAGCACTATTAGATACATTCAGCAATGTTTCTGCCATTGACACCACTGCTGTCCCACCAAGTGTTGAGACAGTCAGTGCTGCCACTGCGGATGATGTAGTGGTTGTGGTAGTGGTTGCCTGGGAGGAAGTTGCTATGGAAACCTCTGGATGATTAGCGGTGTTGGCCGATGCCGAGTTCAGGACACCTCCCAACAGCTGGGGATTCAAGGCCATTAATCCTGAGGCCCCAGTGACAGCTGGGAGGAACAGGGGGTTAAAAGTAGTGTCACTGCCTGCAAAGCTGGGTAAAGGGTTCCCCAGGGGGCTGGTTAAAAGGGTCTCAGCTCGGCTGTTCTCTGACTGATTGCTTGGCAAATGGTCTGGTGGGGCTGTCATCTGTGTTAAGGAGGGTAAAGGGGTATTTTGCTGTTGAAAAAGATCTGAGATGGTCAGATTGAAAGATGGCAGGGGAAGCATGGCAGCTGTGTGGGCTTGGTTCTGAAGCAGGGCCGCTAAGAGCTGAAAGTGGACAGGCTGCAATCCCTGCCCATCCATGTCACCGGAGAGAAAAGCTAAAGCAGCGTTTACATTCGGGTTGAGAAAACCTAAAGGGTGGAGGTTGATCTCAGACTTGCCTTCTCCCGCTGAAGGCTGGAGGATATTTAATAGATTCTGGTTTAGGAGATGCTGTTGATTCACTGGCAAAGAGATAGGTAGAGAACTGAGGAGGCTGGGGTTCAAGGGGTGTGGAAGATGGTTGTTTGAAGTGCTGTTGGATGGAAAATGAAGTGCGTGCTCCTGGCCAACAAAAGGAAAGTCACTCCCAATGGGCAGCTGACTCTGCAGTGGGTTTCCAGCTGCGGTGGTGACGATGACGCCGTCCTGGAGAACAGATGTTGTCTTCGTGATGGCAGGATGGCTGGTGCCAGCGATGGCGATGGAGGATGAAGGTCCTGAACTGCCTAAAAGGAAGACAACACAAAACAAAAACGCCACGCATTAATTGTGGACGTGAAGGAAGACAACCCCATGAAAACACATTGAGATCCATTTCAACTATTTTATTACCTGTCCCCTTTACTGATTTTAATCAGAAAAATTGTGATCAGAGATGATATCCCATCTGAATGACACACGTTTCCTAACCTACTTTGAAAATCAATTTATTGGAGAAGTTTAGGTTACTAAGAAATAGCTTGTTTTTCACAGCTGGACAGAGTGAATATGGAGGACGTTCTGTAGTAGTTCATTCATTTGGGTTAGATAAAAGCAACAAGCCTTCATTTTTAAAAACCATTTTTCCTTTAAAAAAAGTTTTTGTTCTTCTATTTGTAATACTAGTACTTGCTTTTAGTAAAAAAAAAAAAAAAACAAAGTAGAATATGCATGAGCATATAAAACAGAAAATAAAAAGTACTTATAAATATTTTAATATTTTAATGTATAGTTTTCTGGACTTTACCCACCTGTGCTAGTATTTGTATATATTTATACAAATACACACACACACACACACACATACACATGTTACATATTTTAACAAAAATGGAATCATGCTGTCTTATAACTTTTTCATTTATCAATATATCTTTCCATGTTAACTCTTTTAACTACAGAATTATTTTACTAGTATCATGTATGGACATACCATAATTTAATCAACATACAGTTGTGATATTTTGATTGTTTACAATCCTTTACATGGTAAGCAGCACTAAAAACATTAACTCATCTTTGTCAATATACTAAATTACTTTCTAAAGATAAAGTCTTGAAAGTGGAATTCCAGGAACAGAAGAGTTTACATAAATTTAAAGCTTTGAATACTTCCTGTCAAACTGCCCTCCAGCAAAGTTGATCAATATACATTCAATTTCCATTTCTATAAACAGTGCACAGTAGCGCACATTCTCACCAACATTGTGTTTCATTATTTTTAAATCTTTGCTATTCTGATAGCATAAAGGTACTTTGCACTCATTATTCCTTAAGTCAGACAAGTCTTCATCCAAACAGCATTTTTAATCTTGAAAGTCTTATGCAAGAGATGAAAATTCAGGAAATTTAATATTTAAAAATATAAAATTTGGTCGCTTAATTGTTTTCAATCCAAGCTGCACAATAGAATTACCTGGATAACTTGAAAAGAAAAGAAATAAAAAGCAATGCCTTGGGCCCTATTCCAGGCCAGTTGAAAACCCATCTCTGGGGCACACCCAGCCTGAGCAGTAGCATTTTTTCAAATCCCCCTGGAGATCCCGATGCACACGGGGCAGGGTGAGGAGGGTGAGACTCACATCTGCTGAAAAGTAGCCTGTAATCATTTTTTCATAAAAGGTTTTCCCCTAAAGAGATACATTGTTTTATGTGATACACACATTTGGCAAATGTTTATTATCACAAGCATATGCATTTAATTTCCTATTAAAACATAAACATGTATATAGTATATTAAACAATACCACTGACACTGGAAACCTAAAATAATTCAAAAATTTTACCGCTGTACTATGCCATCATAAGACATTTTACATTTGACCAAGTAACCATGGAGGCCTCGTTCAAACACGTAGAAATGTTTCCGTAGTTATAATAATAGTACAAATATGATTTTATAGTCTTCCTGTTTTCTCCTAACAGAATAACACGAGAATTTTTCCCTTATGATATATAGACTTTGTATTAATATTTTTAAACCATATAGCATATGGATTGACCATATTATGTAAAACATTCTGATACATTTTGGCATTTTGATTTTTTTCATTATTATGTATAACACAGGGATGCACATCTTATTGCATATGATACTTTCTTATCTTTGAATTTGTCCTTAGGAAAAATTCCATCATTGGCATGATTGTTATGAGAATCAAAAATAGGTACATGAAAGGCTTGTAATATGTAAAAATCTATACAAATAAAAGGAGTTATCATCATCATTACTACTGGCATTCATATATGTAGTTAGTAGTGGTGATGTGGCAATAGCAGTTAGTATATCCAACACATCAGCATATCTAACACTCCTTACAGAATGTCTCTATAGCACGACTTTATACTTTTTCCCAGCTGTCATGTCTGCTTTTTTTTTTAAAGCTCTGTGTTTCATTTAAAGAATAAGATTTTAAAATGTCCTGTTTAAAAATATATAAATATTTATAAAGTATTATCATAAAATAATGAGTATGTTCACAAAGAGTGGGGTCAGAGCATATCAAATGCTGAGACAGGCATATGGCATACAATTATTTAAATATTAATTCAGATTTGTGATAAAACAATCAACATCTTAAACATTTCATTGCCTCTTAAATCTTGCTGGTATTTCTATAAATAGGTACTGTGCTTTATTTGCATCTGGAAACCATCTTTTTAAACAAGTGAATAAAAACTCTTATTAAGTGGTAATCACTACCCGAGGTCTTTCTCCCTATTTGCTAAATAATAATGACTTATTTAAATGTACAGATCACCATTCAGAGCACATTTTCAAAATATTCCAGCATGTAGGTGACAAGGCTTTGTAGAAGAAGGATTTCCATAGAGGTTATTCTTTTTAATCTTTGTTTTCTAAGAGAAACATTTATATATTAAACTCAAGAAAGTAGCCCTTGGGGGACATTATAAGTCTCCATCTAAATATTATTGAAAAATGACAATAAAGAAATGTAGTTACTCTGAGTGTATTTTCACATTACAAAACAAGATGATGGTGAAGAGAACAACCTTTTCAAGAGTAATATGTGGATCAAAGACCATTTTTTAAAACATTTTCCTCCAATTTTCAACCAGTCAGTGCAACAAACAGGTATCATACCTCTTCTGAACAAAAGGATAGAAATGATTATACAGAAACAAAAACCAAACATAAACACCACAAAACACCCTGCCCTTTCCTGCAGGAACTCGGTTCAGCAGTCTTGAGCACACAAACCTCCCTGTCTCTCTTTTTCTTCTTTCAAAGACACATTATTGAGAGCTTATTACGAACCAGGAACTAATGTTCTTTTCATATAGCTAGTGTACCTGTAATAGCTAAGAGCTATAATAGGCATATAACAGGAAGGCAATTGTAAACTGAAGGTGTCAGGGAAAACTAAGCAAGTGGTAATATTTGATCTGGGATTTGAGAGTGGAAAAGGAGAGAAAGGGCTTCTAAGAAAAAGGAAAGTAATTAAAAAAAAAACAAGACAAGGGGGTAATAAAATGCATGGAGAGTAATGGATTCTTATATATCTTCGAGCAGATAAATATGACTGAAAATATTATAAGCTGCTTTCCCAGACACACTGGCCCTGCCACCCATAGTTAAACGTGCTGCCTTCGACAAGAGGTAATGACATTTGAAATAACCTTTCTAAACAATTAAAGGCAAGGACCACTTCTTATTTTCTTCTGCATTCCAAGACCTAACACAGTCTCACACATGGTTGGCGTTCAGAAAATGTTTCTTGGTTGAACTAATCTGTTAAGTTCAGAAGACTTGCACTAATTTTCTAGAAGTCACATCATTTGCATTCAATGGTGTGTGCCTGTGGCATGTGTGTATGTGGAGAAAGGGAGAGCATACCACCCATTGGTGGAGAAAGTAATGACCTGGCTCTCCCGATGCCAGGAGATGAGACGCTGGAAAGGAGATGGCTGGAAGATGCCAAGTTACTTTAGAAGGCTCCCAGGTGTCTAAGGAGTTAAAATCTCCTTAGAGAGGAAGACTCCTCACAAAGTCCTCAGTTCTTAAGGTCACTCATTAACACTTGTGCTCATTCGGAGGACCCTGGGTTTTTACAGCTGGAGATAAGTTGGAGGGTGCTTTTCTCTGAACCACTTAATCTTGAATAGGCACTCTCTGGTGAACCGACATCACAGTTCTGCATAAAAACCTTGTCTGTTGAAGCACTTGGGAAAACAATGATTTTCTTCTTTCCTTTTCCCCGTTCCTTGTCTTTTTCTTTTCTTTTCTCTTCCTGCCTTCTTTCCTGCCCGTCTGGCTGTCCACCTTTACTTAGTTTGCAGCCAAGATGTTTCATGCTTAATCTAATGAAATGAACAGTTAGAGAGTTTTTGAAAAAGCAAACTATTCATTAACCATTTAGCAGTTAAATAATCAAAAGGCAGCTGGGAGCCTGGAAGAAATGTCGGAGAAGTCCTTTAATTGGAGAAAGTGATTATTTCATACCAGCTGGCAGTACCATGAACTGGCATAGTTTTTCTCTTTGTCTTTGTTGCTTCTGAAGAAGAGAGAAGACTTATAAAGCTACCCAAATAAACCTTCCTGGTGCGAGATCATGTGCCTTGATCCCCAAAGGGTGAGAGTCTAGCACAATGAGGAAAGGACTTGCCCAGTTGGGTTGATTCCCAAATATAAATAGTACTCTTTGCACACATATATAGTTTATCTCTCTCCGTGTGTACACAGAAATAGCATCAGCAAAATTTTTCAAAGAAAATTTTAAAGCTATTTTCCTACCATTACTAATTTTCATTCTTGAGTTTTATTTGCCTCATTTAAAATGCTTTTCAAAACAAAGGTACTGTCTACCTCTTTAGATTTATCTTCTGTATCACCAATATTCTTTAAGAAAAGTCATTGTTCACATTATGCTAAATTTTTTAAAGGCTGGATCTTAACACATTGTGGACCAGTAGTTTTATTGCTAGCTTTACCCAGTGGCCAGATAAGTTTCTATTGAACGAGTACAAAAAACGTTTTACATGAATGTTAAAGGCATGCTTTAAAATTAAATACCCATTGCATTTTGAAGTTATTTATTACATGTTCTTACAAGTTAATATCTTTTTAAAGTATGATACTTTGTAAAACACTGTGTACTATGAAGTGAGAATTCTCATGATCTGTCCGCAATGTGTTCAGTATTAATATTGTATATGTCTTTGTATGCGTACAAAATAGGGCATTAATTAAGCTCACACCAAAAAGACCAATAAGTTGTTTTTAAAA